TGTTTAAAAAAATATCATGCAATTATTTATAATTAACTCCCATTGTTAAACCCAATCAAATAACTCAATATTTCAAAAGTTTATTTTTATTATTAAGTTGTTTCCTAGGTGTGCTTATTCGGTTTTCCTGTAATTTTTTTACTCGTACAATCTACAATTATTTTCAGCTTTAATTGAGCGTCTTATTTATTCTAGTATTTAATTTTACTTGATGTGTGACTAAACTAAGACGACAAGCACAAGCCCACAAAAGCTATATAACCATTTGTTGACGTGGCCTATAAAATGCACATAGTTAGATGCAGATGAATCTAAGTTCTTAAAATATCTAAACTCAAATTTTATAACAACTATTATTAGCTAGGCGTGATGGTAACAATATCACAGGCTTCTCAATTTCATCGGCGCTAACCGAATATTAAATTGTCAAAAGCACTGACCGGTTCGTCCTTTGTGTCATCAGCGGAACGGAATGCATTCGACGAGTCAAAGGGTTAGTTATTCAAACTAGTGCTCTAAATTTGTTTTGAGTGTTCATACTCAGAATTTGGGGTCAGTGGTTTGGCCTCTGGGTCTATCTTAGAAATCTATCCAAAATAGAAGTACAGCAAACACTGTTATGGTGCATTTCTTTGTATGGCTTTTTGACCAATTGTTTTCGTTACCTTCGACACTTTTACTTCGCCCGCATAGAACATAATAACAGAGTCCACTACAGAAAATGATGAATGTACGGATTATATAACATTTGATTTGAAGACGTTGTTCTGTTTTTAAACTAATCTGACCTTTCAAGCTCCAATATCGTAAGGGAAAAATAAAAATGTGATAAATATGGTCAATTTTCAAGTATACATTATGAATTATGGTAAAACAAATATTAGCAACAATGTCGTCGAACGAAACACTAAAATCTCGGCCAAGTGCGAGTCGGGTTCGCGAAGGAAGGGTTCCTTAACATTATCCATAACAAAAACCGGCCAAGTGCGAATCAGCCTCGCACATGAAGGGTTCTGTACCATTATCTGTAAAAACATCAAAAAAAATCATGTCTGTTATATGGGAACCCCATTTAAATATTTTTTATCCTATTTTTAGTATTTGTTGCTGTAGCGGCAACAGAATTACATCATCTATAGAAATTTAAACTGCCCAACTATTACGGTTCATGAGATACGGCCTGGTGACAGACGGACAGACAGACAGCGGATTCTTAGTAATAGGGTCCCATTTTACCCTATTACCTAAACGGGACAGAAATACAAAGGAATAAATATGAAAACTTATAGACAAGATACTAAATTATTTGCCGCTTTTATGGCTGTCTACGTGCTAAGGTCTAATTTTAAATGGCATTTGAAAAAAGAAACCACGGACGTGTTTTTTTATTCAGATTTACTTCATCCTAATCAGTTCGTTACAAATATCAGTCAGTCTATGCATATAGCATAATAAGAAACTTCAACATGATTTTCATGAAATTTAGTATGTGCGTAGATTCGGGGGCGAAAAATCGATCTAGCTAGGTTTCATTTTTAGAAAATGTCCTTTTATCCCTGTTTTCAGGGAATGAAAAATATCATTCGAATATGACGGTAAATTTCGCCGCAAAAAAAAATGTTACAATAGCTCGGTCGGTAATCGGGCGGCCCCAAAACAGGCGGCCGAGGTTCATATCACGATCATTTACACAATTATCTTTTTACTTTTTTTTCTATACCAGATCATTTTCTTTATCTTTTTTTATTTCCAAAATACATGATTTACCAAAAAAAACGAGCAAAGCTCGGTCCTCCAGGTACTAAATAATTATTCCCGAAAAGACATTCTCAAATAGGGTCAGTCATTTATCAGAAGATAGGTCAATGGCTGAGAGTTAATAATGAGTGACATGCGACGGAATCGAGCCATACTTGGGACTATTGTTAACGAGCTCTCCTTGTAAATATGTTGTGTAGGAAATGGTTGACCCCTTTTTTACTTTCCTCCGTTTTCATATTAATCACGTCATTGACTGTGATTAATATAATATTCATGTTGAATTCAGGTTTAAAAGTTTACCTTGGGTAAAAGAAAGCACCTCATTATGTCGGAGATTACGTTTTTTTTGTTTTGTTTTATTACGAACCATCTTCGTATGGGAAAAGTTCTATTGCCAATTTGGAAAGTCTCTTAGAAAGTTATAAAAAGTATTAGCAGAAACAGCCTGATAGTATTATTAAGAAACAGACCGACATATTTTAATCCATTATTTTGACGAAGTAAAACTATCCTGGTGCATCTCAATCTCTATCCTTAGTTACGAAAAGTTATAAATTTTAATTATTCAAATAATCCTATTTAGCCTAGCTATAATTAATTAAAGTAGAGTAGAAAAAAAATAAAACAATAAACGCACTTTTTCTACATCCTTATTCCATATATTTTCTTGTGAGCGATTGGAATCTAATCCCACTTCTAATGTTTTTTGAAAACACATGATATTTTTTTATCTTTAAACATCAAAAACAGATGGTTTTATCTTTATTTGAATTGCCAGGATATAGTTTAACCTTAAAAATCAAAAACAAATGGTTTTATCCGAGGCCCGATATAAACGGACGATAACATAGTAGGGTCACGCAGCCGCTAAGGCCATCGCACGAATGGGCTTCACAGAAGACCGGCGACAAGTGGAAGTATTATTGTTTCGTGTTTCGTCTGGTGAGTGACGTAGCCGGACTATTTCAACCCGTCATGTGTTATAGATGTCCATTGGCGGCGTTAATCACATAAGGTGAACCACATGCTCGTTTTTAACATTTTTAACATAAAAAAATCTTCCTATATAATTTTAGTGTACTTAGGTGAGCAGAAAATATACTTTATGCCTTGGGGAAAACATACTACATCATCATTCCTTTCACAAGCACACTGAGCGCTAAAGCACCTACATGATACCTATAAAAATTAAAAGTAAAGTAACAGTATATAAATGTCTCACTGTTAGGCAAAAGCCTCCCCTGTACAGAGGGTATTATGGCATAATTCACCAAACGTGGGTTCTGGCGGACTTCACATGTTTTCGAAATATTTTTTTGTTATTATTTCGAAAATATGCAAGTTTCACGATATTATCCTTCACCGCTGAGTACGTGATAAGTCAGCAGTTTAAATTAATAATTTGATTCGGTTGCTTGAGTATGTTGAATTTAAAGCGAGCGCAAGGAGCTATCACGGCTAGAATGAACTAACACGGCTGCCTACATATATACATATAATATCTACACATAAACATGAACAAAGGATGAAATAAAAAGTTCTCAATAATCATATTGATTAAAGGAAATGAGTGTTTATATGTGTTTTTTTACATCTGATTACAATGTGGATATTTTCAAGGTTCGAGTGAACAAGTTTTTAATAAGTGATAAAAATACTTTGTGATAAAACGGACCTTCGGCTTGTAGTACATTTATGATACAGAGTTCTCTTTGAGTAACAAATAACAAAAATTAAAATCACATCGGGTATGTGGTTCAATGGATTACCCGGTGGGAAACTGACGAATGCCGAATCTTAGAACCATTTCGGGAAAATACCGCGATGACTGTTACATTACTTTTACTGTTATTTTTCGGGGCACCTTAATATAACTGTTTCTTTTTAAAAACGACTGGTTTTGTTTACTCGATGGGAATTAAATGTGATTTCCCATGTTGATGCCGGCCAATTCGTATTGCTCTATGATTGTTGAATGGATATTGATATTTCCATTTCTCCTTTTCTCGATATCGGAGCGGCGGTATTATCTGAAATTATAAAAAAAATACTACACAAACAGCCCTAGTTTATGCACGGTATACTTTTAAAGTTGATTTTTATATAAAATAACTTCGAAATATTCATGGCACTGCCAGTTATGTTTACAGATAATAATATCTTAAACATATAATAGACATAATAATATCTTAAAGTTCTTTTTTAGGTATTTAAATTATTCGGTTTCACCAATGTTATGCAAATATTACAAGTTGCTCAAGCTGCAAGCTCTAAATTGACTGAAAACTCAAATACAACGAAAATAAAATGTAAAATTTTTACGATACGCCGCATACCTACAGCCAAAAATAGACATAAAAAACTCGGTTACAAATTGGCGAACTTCGACCAGCATGGCAAACAATAACAACTTTATGAGTATTAAACAAAGTTGTCCCACTGTCTGTCTGTCTCTATGTATGCTTAGATCTTTAAAACTACGCAACGGATCTTGATGCAGTTTTTTTACTGGTGGCAACGCATCTGCAACCCTGTGGGTGTTGTAAATGTCCGACGGCGGTTATCACTTAACATCAGCTGAACCGCGTGCTCTCTTGCCGCCTGGCCACATAAAAAAAGAAAAAAAAACTGAAAATTATATTAAACGCCACGTCTATCCGGCGCGAAGTCTGTTGCTTGAGTTCAAATTTTAAATTGGACCAAGTACGATCACTACTAGTTCATTGACATAACCAGGACCGTGGTTCACCTGTTATTGATAGTCACACACACATTGATATCACATACACACACGGGCAAGAAAGAATTCATCAGACGCGTTCGCTAAACCACGCGCATGATCTACTTCATCACACCACGCATAAACGTGAACCCAAGACGTAATGATTCGAGTTGACTAGATTTATGAATTTTAGCACATCAGTAAGACGCTCCCTGACATCCGTTTTTTGGGGTTTCTGTACGTAAAGATTAAAACGGGATCCCGTTACTAAAACTCCGCTGTCTACCTGTCTGCCTCTTCGTCTGTCAGCAGGTTGTATCCCATGAATCGTGATAGTCAGACAGTTGAAATTTTCACAGATAATGTATTCCTCTTGGCTCTATGACAACAAATACTAAAAAACATAATAAAAAATATTAAAGTGGGGCTCCCATACAACAGACATGAGATTTTTTTTTTGCTGTTTTTATAGATAATGGTACGGAACCCTCCGTGCCTCACACTAGACAGGTTTTTAATTGATAATGGTGCGATCCGTACCATTCCCGGCTTCATCTGTCAGTAGATTGGAGCAGCTGCCAGCACTCGGTTTGCAACGACGCCTACATAGCGCGGTGCGCTTGATTCGACGCTTAGCTTTGTCTCGGGGAGGACTAAACTTGACGGCTGAAGTGAGATCTCCGTATTTCAGCGCCGGCAGCTGGTTGACCTCCATTTTTGCTGTCAGTATTTGCAAATGTTTTATTTAAATTAAATTACCAACAATTTTATTTTCCCGTACAAACTATTCCTACCTGTCAAACATTTTATGCGTGTTTTCCGAAAAATCTTTTTCTATGTGTTCAGATTCACAAATTAACTAGAAATAATATTATATTTTTAACTCAAATTTTATTTTATTTTAGCATCGTTTCAATTTTTCCGACTCGCCTCCGTAGCCGAGATAACAAATATTAAAAAACATGCATAAATATCCGACTTAGGTCTGTCCAAACCTGATTTGCGGCTGAGCCGAATTTAACATCAAAAGTACAACCGTAATGTTTTCTCAGGGTCTTACATTTGCTATTTGTTCCAAGCAAAACCATTTGAACAAATCTTTTTTGCTTTAAATAAACGGATGATTAACAACCTCTTGACCTTTATTGACAACATTTTAGTAAGCTCTAAGAAGGATCGTATAGTTGAAAATGGTTTTACATTCAATCAATGTAACACATATGAGAAGGCAAAATAATATTAATTAAAGAGAAATATATTATTGGCGTTTCTAACTTGCTTTATTAATCCTAATCTGGCTACTTCAACTTATTATCTTTTATTACAATTGCTTTAATGTGACATTTTTTTTTTCATTCGTCAGATTCAAGGGCAAATTGGTCGAATAGATGAAAGAAGTTATATTAAAAAGAAATATAAGCGATTTGGATTTCAAACACATTTTATTAAATTTAATCTGAATAAGTTGTTTGTTTTGGTAACAGAATTTTTTTTCTTTCTGCTTTTACATTTTAACTTTTATCTTTTAGCACGTGCACTTTGGCTTCGACCCTCAGTTCGAAGGCATTGATACTACTGAAAGAAAATGTGTACCTAATGTTTCGTCCATTTTTCATGAGATCAAACCAAGCGCATCTTCCTATACACAATAAAAACGAAGTTTTGGTGACGCCTGTTGAGGCGACCACAGCTGGCGGGCTGGGCAAGCTGGGCTAAGGATATGTGCGAATCCGATAAGTGCGAGTGGTCTTATGCCTCTGTACTTATCGGTGTTGGTGCCGGTGGAAAACCTTTCAGAGATAAATGTAAGTTACTGCAAAATCTTTCTTTTAATTTCTTTCTTCTTTTTCTTTTCTTTTTATTTTATACTTCAAGTTTTTGGATGTATTAATCTCTATCTTGTGTTTGTGCCTTTCAGGACTATTTTTATTGAAATTGAGCTAGGTTCGTTCCCTGCTTTGTGTCATATTTCGGTTTTTTATCAACTTTCAAGTGTCTTCACTGTGATCTTGTGTCTTCAAGATAAAACCAGCATTTCCAATTTCCATAACAAGCAGTAATTATGTCATTTGTATTATTTTACGACTGCGTTCACGCAGATGCCACAGTATGTGCTTATGCTATTAAGGTAAATTAACAGCATGTATGCAAATCAAAAATAAAGCAGCGTTAACCGAAGTAGCGCGTTTTCCAACTTCGACTTTATGTATTCCCGCCATTAGGTAAGGTATATACGAGTTATACGAGTAGTCGGGTACGAGCCAAATAGTCAATAAAGAGTCACAGTATCATTTTAAATAAAGTATATTTACTTTTTTTGTAATAGAAGGACAACGCAGAGATTCTCTGTACAAACCATGCTCCATATAATTTTCATGGGTCGTTTACTTACGATGAACTTGAATTTGCCTTGTACTTAAGTGCTTAACTGACCGCTCGTCCGGCCGGCGAAATATGTGAGGATTACAATTTGCTAACGATACGTACATGTTATACCGTGAATAAAAAACCGTTATTTGACTTGTCGTGCCTTTAATGTATCGTTGTGATAGCTCAGTGTCCGGGCGCTCGCCTTTAATTTAAAAAAACTTGAGCAGGTTGCTCAAGTATATTAAATAAAATAAATAAATAAATATTAAAAGAGTTCGATCCTTTAAGAATAAGATCTTTTAAGTTCTGATTTATCAAGTGCACAGCGGTGAAGGAAAACATCTTAAACCTGCATATTCTAGAAATAATAACAAAATAAAATATTTCGAAGAGATGTCAAGTCCGCCAATCCAGTGTGGCTGGGTGGTGGACTGTGCCTTGTTACCCTCTGTATAGAGGAGGCCTGTGCCCAGCAGTGGGACATGTATAGGCTACTTTTTTTTTATGGAAACCATATAAAGGTATGGGATATAAACTATAGTACCCAGAGAACCGAGGTTTGTTTTTTTTTTTTTTTGGTAAATCGTGTGTTTTGGAAATTACATTTAGATAGATTACATTAATATGCGTAATATTTTTCGATCTTACCGACGTAATAATAAGTAAATATGAACTGATGTTTTTCACAAAAGAAAGAACTTAAAAAAAGGGAAAAAAATAACAAAATAACAAATCGACAAAAAATAAAAGATAAAGAAAGCAATGATCTGGAATCGAAAAAAAAGTAAAAAAATAAGTGTGTAAATGATCGTGATACGAACCACGGCCTTCTGTATCGTGGCTGTTTGTTAGCGGCCGCCCGATTACCGACCGAGCTATTATAACATTTTTTTTTTTCGGTAAAATGTACCGTCGTATTCGAATATTATTTTTCATTCCCTGAAAACTGGGATAAAACGACATTTTCTAAAAATGAAACCTAGTCAAATCTATTTTTCGCCCCCGAATCTACGCACATACTAAATTTCATGAAAATCGCTGGAGCCGTTTCCGAGATTCCAATTATATATATATATATATATATATATATATATATATATATATATGTGTATACAAGAATTGCTCGTTTAAAGGATAAGATAAACTATGTAACGTCGCGCAGTCGAGTGAAAAGGTATTATGTAAAGAGAATCTAATTACGACTTGGACACAATATGGTAAAAAAATCTGTCTTGGAAGTCCGAATAACGGAAAATGCATTGGATTTGAGTAATGAGATTTAAATCTGTCACCTTGATACTATAAGAACCTCGGAATACAGAAGGAACTCATTCTGTTATTTCCGTTTTCTGAGACAAATAACTTACATTTTAAATATTCCTTTTTTAGACTGTCTCCTCCTGGCCGTCTATAAACTAACTCGTGTATATATTCCGTCTACGAGGTTATTCCTGAGGTATATATAGGAAAATTGCCGATTTATCAAAACTCGACTTAGTAGAAAACGGTTATTGCGTGGTTTAGTAAGTCGCTTTGTAGGACCAGGCCTGCTCTTAACGAACCCTTTTCCTTGAAAACACTCCTAGGTCTTTTGGACTGTTAAATTACTTATTCTTAGTCTCTGATAAGTAATTTAACACACACACACACAGCGCTCCACAAAGCGTTGCAAATTTGCCTTGTATATATTTTTAAAAACCAGCCTCGGAAAAAAAAGCCTTCTCCTGCTTTCGCGAACTTTAGTATAGTATAGTTATAGGCTCAATTCCTTTTGGGACTTGATTCTTTCGGTACATATATGTGTCCTGGTTTACCTCACTCACCTGACGAAACACAAAAGCAGTTACTTTCCCTTTTTGTGAGGTCGTGGTGTTTCACGGATGAGTCTGTAAATTCGTGCAAAAACTAAAGGTGTTCGCAGCACCTTCGATTTTAGGCCACCGAAGTACGGTCAAGGCCACCTAAGTAGGGTCAAGACCCTACTGCCGTGATTCTTGCCATGGCGGAAGTGAGAGCGTGGAGTGCATATAGCGAGGACATTATAGCTCGGAGGAGGCCATTTCTATTTTTATGCCAATGAAACTTAGTATTACTACAAGCTCTTCGCCCCATAAAGTTTCAAACAGAAAGCGCAAATATCAATAATCAAAAAGCGAGCAAATAGTGTTATCGACCGTTAAAAGGAAGTATTTTACGATCTCTTAGTCTACTTATTAAATCGTCGACGTAACAGATCCAGTGTAAAGATGGATGACAAAAATAAAACACCGAAAAATGAATTTCAAACAATATAACGTCGAGCGAAGTAAAATGTGGAGCATGACTCGTTCCAAGAGAACCCGTGAGGGTTCTCTTGAAACGAGTCATCTCATGAGACGAGTCACTGTTCGTATCAGAAAATATAACGTGTTTAGTACAAACAATAACTCGTAATACAATCGCATTCTCAGGGAACGATTTCCTTGTATAAATTATTGAGGCATTTTTCCTGAATATTTTCATTAATTTATTTCGAATTATTTGTTTTGGTATTACAAAGATAGAATTTAGATTACATAGATACATACAGAACAAGACAGACAGATGGAACAAAAGCATAGGTGCTCTGCAATGTTGCTAACGGCTTAAGCACGCCGTGTTGTAAATTAGATCTTCATACGGAACCAAATGACGCCAGAGAATCGAGTCTGGATGGACCTTGAATCCGTTAGGCGATTGAATAAAAACATTTGTTTTGTTTTTGCAAATATCAATAATTGTTTTAAAGTCATCTGACTTTTGCTTTTGAAGCCCGTCTGCAAAAACCTTCATCAAAACTTTCCTTGACTAAAAACTGCAAATTCAAGTCGGGAACTTCAGCTTGTGTAGAAAGAACACTTGATAAGGATTTGCTACTAAAGACTTTTGAAGTGAGATATTTTGAATGAATTGTGCCGCAGGTGTTCCAAATTTCAATTGTGAAAGGGGGAGCTTGAAGAAGCAATTTTCGGTCACTGGCACTGATATAAAGTGACAATAAAGTCCGACTTCACTCTAGATACCGTAAAGCAGGATCCAATTTTTTAGTAATTGGATTTACAACATTTCTACAAATGCTGTTTTACAAAATTTGCTGGCAAATAGGATCAAATTATAAATTGTTCGTTTTAATAACAAGTTCATTTTACATCAACTTATAGTAAATTCTAGGCTCAAAAAAAAATGAAAACAGGAAAAATACTTTAATAACTTCTTTTTTTTATGTCAAAAAGTTGGCAAACGAGCTGGCGGTTCATCTGATGTTAAATGATAACCACCGCCCACGGACATTTGCAACACCGGTTGCCACCTTTTAATAATGTGGGC